TTTATAATATGTCAAAGGTTTTGTAATAATGAACAAACATGATTTAAAAAATAACAACTAAAAAGGTTACATTAAAATCCTGTTATCAAAGTGCAGATGCACAGATGTCCCCCATTTTGCATTATATACAACTATTAAATGATTGTATTATCCCTGATCGAAGAACAAAAGGAAGATCTGAAAACAGAAGCTACTAAGATGTGCATGCTTTGCAACTTTTCCTACAAAACCCATGAGCTTCATCAGAACCAACCATATAACCAGGGTTCTTCTCACACTCACCCGCCTCCGCCCACATAACACAGTTATCATTCTCATCGGCACACTCTCCTTTTTCTGAAGGTCTTACTCGTTTGTCAAATGATCTTACGTGGATCCATTTAGTCGCAGACCACTTCTCACCCTCAATGACTGGACAGCTTCCATGCAAACTGTTTGAATCTGTAGTTGCATCAATATGGAGACTGAAGAACAGCAATGCATCACCTTTCCTGGTTTTCACTGCAATGTCCAGCCAGTATGATTCTGAGATACTAATAATACCAATAATATTAAGCTGCAAATGCTACACATTTGATGAATGACTACATTTTCATAGACAAGTCTTGAAAGTAAATACTATCAGTGCAACCTGAAAATGATTCTAGATCTCTATCATACACTTACTCTCATACTTTAAACAAATTGCACCGAGTGACAAAGGAACCAATTGACAATGGATTAGTGATAGTATTGCACAAAGACTAATTCTAAGGATCACGTGCAAGACAAAACCATTGCACCTAGTCATAGGTTGCTCTCGATAACATATCCTCATGCCTATGCCAGATCTTAATAAAATATACCTTAAAGAATAGTCACAATTATCCACTGGCATAGAACTTCAGAGACTTCAAATGGAAAACAATCACTGGAGGAAATTAATAAAACATGCTAATTAAACTACAAGCATGGAAGTCTATGAGACTACGTCAAACAAGTAATACCTGCATAGCCGCGTTTCGCACATTCAGACCAGCTTTCATCCTTTTCCTGGGATATTTTTTCCTGCCAAACATAAAAATGAATATTACGAGTGCAATAAAGGATGACCAAAGATCGCCATGAAATCATGCTATTGGTGCAAATCATTTACCTCTGAGTTGGGAAAGATTGTTTCCCCACCCCTCTCAACGTTAGACAAATACATAAGTACAGTAGCAACCCGGTGGCCACCCAGTGCTTGATTAGCTTTGTCATGAAAATAGTCAAAATGTGGCTCATACTTCTGACCATGCTCATAGTGCAGTATCTGAATGGATTCTCCATTTTCTGTTTACAATGTAAAGAACAAAATAAAATTGCTATAATTCTTCTAACATATATTTGTAAATTGAAAATAAGCATAGAGTACAATGTACCTTCAGGAAGGAAGGTCCACGCAGCAATCCTCGCCTCAATTCTTGCAACTATTTCATCCTAAAAAAGGTGGAACAAACATATAAACTTTAAGGTCTAAGAATCAATCACCAATAATTCATATATATGAGTTTGTAACTAAACAAAATTCTTGCAGCATTTTATGACTACATTACTGCTGTGAATCTTCTCCAACTCCAACATGATAAATGAAACGAAGAGAAAACAGGCCAAATGAGATTAATATTTAATATTATTGGTTTCTAGAAAATCAAGAAACTGGAACCTTTTAGCTAGTGGTGCAGTCGAATTGCACAAAATGCTAGACAACATAACTCACAAACTCTATGCAACCACATCCTAATTCAGAAACAAGTTGTTTGCTTGCTAATATCTAATACT